GTTACAAAAGGACTTTCTGAAAGATTTCAGAAATATTGCAAATGCAATATTTTAAAAAACATGATACAGGTACATTTCCGAAATATTTCGGATGCAAAGTTACAATTGAAATATTAATGAAATATTTCTGTACCATTTCCGAACATTACAGTATTTCAGCAATATTACATGCCGAGTGGGTGGTTAATTATAATTTCACATTTATGAATGTAACGTAATATAACATATATATATTACATCGTTGTTAAATTGTAGTTAATATTCTATATAGAACTAATCTGGACATATTCAGGATGATCCTGAGGATGTTTTGTGCTGTCTGGGTAGTTAAACGTAAATTAAATAAATAATAAAATAATCTATATTTAATACATGAAACTCGAGATTTAATTTATATAGAAATCAAATTCCGATTTTCCGCTTTAAATAGGCAGTAAATAGATAATTTTCCTTTTATCTATCCAATTCAACAATCTGTTTAATATTCTGAGTTCTTTTTGAGATTATATCAGAAGATAAATTAATAAAAAAAGGATACTTTGAATACTATACTCATAACCCCGCTCTTTGTAAGATTTATATATTCGTGGCGAAAACTTGAATACGAGACAGTTTCACTTGTAGCTATAAACAAAAAAACTTGTATGTAACAATATTATATTGTAATAATGTCCCTATAAGCAAAATGTTAGGAGTATGACTGATAGCAGATTTAATCAAAACCTGTTAACAGACTGATTTCAACTGCGTTTGCATTCAGCTAATGTCGACAAAATCTGCTAACATGATCAGTCGACAGATTGGTAACAAAAATCTAACAGACCTGCTGACGTAACTTGGCTATAGATTGGCGGCAGAAACCGAGCAGAATCTGCCGGCAGATTGGCAGCAGAAATGCAGCAGATTCTGTTGTTTGCTAGCATTTAAATCGTGATGTCATGTCCAGATGACGTTTTTACTCCTTTTTTTATTTTTTTGAAAAAAATAGTATAAAATAATTTTACTAATAAAAATCAATGTTTTTTATTATACAAAACATCTCAAAATATAAATATAAAATACAATTCTAAATTATGTAGTTAATAACCCAGTAAGCAATTTGATAACAAATTGTTGCCAAATTGGCATCAAATTCGCTCAAAACTTGGTAACAAATCCAGTGCCATCTGTGTCCGCATTAAGCTTGTGTTTTGGTGACAAAGCTTGCTGACATAA